GTTCAGCAGCTAGGTGGTACAGTGGATAGAGTGCTGGGCCTCAAGGAAGACTCATCTTCCTGAGTTGAAATCTGGCCTCACACACTTACCAGTTGTGAGACTCTGGGCAAATCATTTAACCCTGTTTCCTTCAGTTTTCTCATCTGTAAAATGAGCTAGAGAAGGAAATGGCAAACCACGCCAGTATCTTTGCCAAAAAAAACCCAAATGGGGTCATGAAGAGTTGGACATGACTGAAAACAACTGAACAACAAATATATAGCTTTGATTTCTTCTTCTAAAAACTACCTGTTCATATCTTTTGAAAATTTATCAGCTAGGGAATGACTCATATTCTTATAAACTTGACTTAGTTCTCTATATATTTGAAACATGAGGACTTTACCCAAGAAACTGTCTACAAATTTCCCCCCAATTGTCTGCTTTCCTTCTAATCTTAGCTACTTTAATTTTATTTGTACAAAAATTTTTTAAATTTAATATAACCAAAATTATTCACTTTATATCCCATAATGCTCTGTCTCTTCTTTATTTGTAAGTTCTTCTATCCATAAATCTGATTGGCAATATGGTCCATGTTCTTCTAATTTACTTATGATATTTCCCTTTATGTCTAGATCATGTATCCATTTTGACCTTATCGTGGTAAATGGTATAAAATATTGGTATATACCTAGTTTCTGACAGACTGCTTCCCAGTTTTCCCAGCAATTTTTACCAAATAATGAGTTCTTATTCCAAAGAGTCAGCTCTCTATGCTTATCAAACACAAGGTTACTATAATTATTTACTACTCTGTATTGTGTACCTACTCAATTCCATTGATTCTATTTCTTAGCCAGTACCAGATAGTGTAGATAATTACCACCTTATAATACAGTTTAAGATCTGGTGATAGACCTCCTTCCTTTACATTTTTTTCCATTGATTCCTCTGATATTCTTGACTTTTGTTCTTCCAAATGAGTTTTATTATTATTTTTTTTCCAGCTCAATAAAATAAATTTTTTGGGTAGTTCAATTGGGCTGGCACTGAATAAATTAGTTTAAATGGAATTGTCATTTTGATTCTATTGGCTTGGCCCATCCCATGACCAATTAATATTTTACTAATTATTTAAATCTAATCTTATTTGTATAAAGAATATTTTAGAATTATATTCATATAGTTTGGGAGGTATACTCCCAGGTATTTTATTTTGTCTATGGTTACTTTAAATGAAATATCTTTCATGCAGGGCTTTGATGGTGATATATAGAAATGCTAATGATTTATATAGGTTTATTTTATATCCTTCTACTTTACTAAAATTATTAATTGTTTCAACTAATTTTTCAGTTGAATCTCTAGGATTTCCCAAGTATACCATCATATTGTCTACAAAAAGGGAATAGTTTTATTTCTTCATTGTCCATTCTAATTTTTTCAATTTTTTTTCCTTCTCTTATCACTATTACTAGCATCTCTAGTACAATATTGAATAATACTGGTAATAATGGGCATTCCTGATCTTATCAGGAATGCTTCTAACTTATCCCCTTTTCAGATAATGCTTACTGATGGTTTTAGGTAGATACTTCTTTATCATTTTAAGTAAAAAACCATTTATATCTATTTTCAAGTGTTTTTAAAGGAGTGTTATATTTTGTCAAAAAAATTTTCTGTGTTTATTGATGTAATCATATGATTTTTGTTGCTTTTGTTATTGATTAATCTATTATGTTAACAGTTTTTCTCATATTGAACCAGCCCCGCGTTCCTGGTATAAATCCCACTTGGTCACAATGTATAATCTTTGCGATATATTGCTATGGTCTCCTAGCTAGTATCTTATTTAGGATTTTTGCATCAATATTCATTAGTGAAATTGATCTATAATTTTCTTTCTCCGTTTTTGCTCTTCCTGTTTTACATATCAGCACCATGTTTGTTTCATCAAAGGAGTTTAGTAAAACTCCTTTACCTGTTATTCCAAATAATTTATTTAATATTGGAATTAATTGGTCTTTAAATGTTTGGTAGAATAAATTTATAAATTCATCTGGTTCTGTTGTTGTCGTTTTTTGGGGGGGAAATTCATATATGGCCCATTCAAATTCTTTTTCTAAAATAGGTTTATTTAGATATTCTATTTCCTCTTCTGTTAATTTGGGCAGTTTATATTTTTTGTAAATATTCTTCCATTTCACTTAAATTGTTAAACTTATTGGCATATAATTGGGCAAAGAAACTCCTAATAATTGCTATAATTTCATCTTCATTAGTAGTGAATTCACCCTTTTCTTTTTTGATACTAGTGATTTGATTTTCTTCTCTCTTTTTAAAATTCCTATTAACCAATGTTTTATCTATTTTATTGATTTTTTCATAAAACTAACTCCTAATTTTATTTATTAATTCAATGGTTTTCTTACATTCAATTTTATTGATCTCACCTTTAATTTTCAGCATTTCCAATTTGGTGTTTAATTGGGGATTTTTAATCTGTTCTTTTTCTAGTTTTTTAATTGCATACCTAATTCACTGATCTGCTCTTTTTCTATTTTATTGATATAAGCATTCAGTGATATAAAATTTCCTCTGATTACTGCTTTTGCTGAATCCCATAAAGTTTTAGTATGTTTTCTCATTATTGTTATTCTCTTTAATAATATTATTTACTGTTTCTAGGATTTGTTCTTTAACTTACTCATTCCTTAGGATTAGATTATTTAGTCTTCAGTTGATTTTTAATCCATGTTTCCATGGTCCTTTATTAAATGTAATCTTTTTGCATTATGATCTGAAAGGGATATATTTATTATTTCTGTTTTTCTGCATTTGATCATAAAGTTTTTATGCCCTAATATATGATCTATTTTTGTAAAGGTGCCACATGCCATTGAGAAAAAGGTATATTCCTTTCTATTACTATTCAGTTCTCTCCAGATGTCTATCATATCTAGCTTATCTAATATTCTATTCATCTCCTCAACTTCTTTCTTATTTATTTTTTGGTTAGATTTATCTAGTTCTGAGAGGCAAAGGTTGAAGTCTTCCACTATTATAGTTTTGCTATTTCCACTTGTAATTCATTTACCTTTTCGTTTATAAATTGGATGCCATAGCATTTGGGACATATATATTTAGTATTTATATTACTTCATTATCTATGGTACTCTGCTTATGTCTTAATTAAATCTATTTTAGCTTTAACTTTTTCTGTGATCATGATTGCTACCTCTGCTTTTTTTTTTTTACATCACCTGAAGCATAATACATTTTACTCCAATTCTTTATCTTTACTCTATGTATGTCTCTCCTTTTTAAATGTGTTTCTTGGGGCACCTAGGTGGCGCAGTGGACACAGCACTGGCCCTGGAGTCAGGAGGACCTGAGTTCCAATCTGACCTCAGACACATAACACTTGTTAGCTGTGTGACTCTGGGCAAGTCACTTAACCCCAATTGCCCTCACCAAGAAACAAAAAATAAATAAATGTGTTTTTTGTATATAACATATTGTCAGGTTCTGGTTTTTGATCCATTTTGCTCTCTGTTTTCATTTTATAAGTGCGTTCATCCTATTCATATTCAAAGTTATAATTACTAGTTGTGTATTTCCCTCCATCCCGTTTTTCCCTGATGTTAATCCTTCTCTTTCTCTTTTTACCCTAACCTTCCTCAGAAGTCTAGTTTCCTTCTGACAACTAGATCCCTAATCTACACATTCTTCTAAGAGTCTCTCCCTTGACCTATCCCCTTGCCTTCCTATTTCTTCATAAGTTAAGAAGATTTTTATACCCAACTAAATGTATATATTATTCCTTCTTTTACTCAGTTCTAAATAAGGTTCCCTCTCTGCTTGCCCTTCACCCCTTCTTCTACTCCACTGTAAAAGTTCTTCCATTCACACCTCTTCGTATGAGATAATTTGCTCTATTTTACCTCTTCCTACCCAATTTTATTTTTTAGGATTCTCCCATCATAATCAACTCAACCCAAAGCCATATATATATATATTTTCTAATACCCTAGTGATGATAACATTCTTAAGTGTTACAAATATCATTTTCCCATATAAGAAGTAAACAGTTTAACCTATTAGATTTTCATGTTTACCTTCTTATGTTTCTCTTTACTCCTGTATTTGTAAGTCAAATTTCTGTTCAGTTCTGGTCTTTTCCTCAAGAACGCCTGAAAATCTTTTGATTCATCAAATATACATTTTTTTTCTCCTTGCAGGATTTCACTCAGCTTTGCTGGGTAGATTATTCTTGGTTGAAAACCTAGCTCCTTTGCTTTTCAGAATATTATATTTCATGCCCTTTGGTCTTTTAATGTAGAAACTGCTAAGTCTTGTGTTATCCTGACTGAAGCTCCACAACATTTGAATTATTTCTTTCTAGTCACTTATAATATTTTCTCCTTGACCTGAGAGCTTTGAAACTTAGTTATGATGCTCCTGTGAGTTTTCATTTTGGGATCTCTTTCAGGTGGTGATAGGTGGATTTTTTTCTATTTCTATTTTATCCTCTATTTCTAAAATTTCAGCACAATTTTCCTGAATAACTTCTTAAAGTATAGTGTCCAGACCCTTTTTTGATCATGACTTTCAGGTAGTCCAACAGTTGTTATGTTATCTCTCTTTGAGCTGTTTTTCAGGTCAATTGTTTTTCTAATGAGATATTTTATGTTCTCTTCTATTTTTTCATTCTTTCGATTTTGTTTTATTATTTCTTGACGTCTTATGAAGTCATTAGCTTTCTCTTGCCCAATTATAATTTTTAAGGAGTTATTTTCTTCAGTAAGTTTTTGGATCTCTTTTTCAAATTAATTAACTTTCTTTTCATAATTTTCTTGATTTTATTGCATTACTCATTTCTTTTCCCAGTTTTTTCTCTATATCCCTTATTTGATTTTTAAGCTCTTCCAAACACTCTTTTTGGGCTTGTGTCCATTTAAAATTTTTCCTTGAAGCTTTACAAGGAGCTGTTTTGACTTCATTGTCTTCTTCTGAGTTTGAAACCTGATCTTCTCTGTCACTGTAGTATCTATGGTCAGGTTCTTTCTCTGTTGTTAACTCATTTTTAATGGCCTATTTCTTGGCTATTAACTTTATGTTAGGATTTTCATGTCAATAATTGATAGATATGTCCATTGAGGATACAGTAAAGAGGGCTGGGTAATCAGTGGAGAATGTGTTTCTTACTTCATCTAAGTACCAATTTTAAATATCAGTCCTTTTCTTTATGTTTCCTTGCTTCCACAATCAGCTTCTTTTTGGGAAGAAGGACAACTTGAGAAGGGCATCTCTGCTGCAGACTGGAAGTTAAATCTGAAACCAAATAAACCAATAAGTATAAGAGGAAAATAGTAGTGCTCATCAAAATTTTCCCTATATGAGTTCTGAATTTGGGCAACTCAGTGGAGACCAGACTTTTGGATTCACTGTCCAGCCTAATGAGCAATGTCTGCCTCTCCACCTGGCTGCATAGTCTATCCATTTTCTCTAACGTCTTCCTCAAGCCAAACAGCCTTTAAAACTATAGCTTCCAGAGGAATGCAGGGAAAGAGTACAGCAGGGGACATGTAAAAAGCTCTGCCCACTTGACCATAGGCTATGAAAAGGTAAGTGTTCCAGCCTCCATGCTTTGGCCCTGGTGGTTTGGAGAACTCCAGGATGTTCTTCTAGCAGTTCCCATAGAGTTAAAGCAGTTCTGATGTGGAAGGGAATAGGAACAGCATCTATGTTTCCCTCTGCCTTGTTCTCTCCCCAAAATACAGACAGACAGACAGACAGACCAACACACACACACACACACACACACACACACACACACACACACACACACACACTTTACTATCCCAACATTCCATCTGTATCCCAGTCCTGGTGATACTGGTTTCCCTCAACTTCCTTTTACTCACCCTATCTAAACAGCTGAAAGTTTTCTAGAGGCTTCTTGTTAGCAGTTAATTTGCATCTGAAATGTCTCTACTAAAATAAATGGAATTGCCTCAAAGTCTTTCTTTTTGGGATTCTTTTCTAACCTAACATCATTTCTAGAACTGTCTTCTCCTCTGTCTTTCTCCATCTATGTCCTTTGCCTTTTTGCCTTCCTGGTCCATGAACACCTTTATGGTCCCTCTAGATGCTTCTTGTAACTCAGGATTTCCCCTTTCTCATCTCACCCCAATACACATACATTCCTTTACCCATATTCAACTCTAGTTGCTAACCACTTGGACTCTCTGTCTCTATCTCTTAGCTCAACCAGAGGTAGTTAGGTGATATAGTGGATGGAGTCCTGGTCTTGGACCTAGGAACACCTGAGTTCAAAATAGCCATGACCCTGGATAAATCACTTAACTTTTCTCAAGCTCAGTTTCCTTATCTATAAAATAGGGATAACAATAACACCTACCTCACAGGGTTTTATGAGTCTTAAATAAGGCAATATATGCAAATCCCTTCACAGACATTAAAGCCCTAAACTAATATTAGCCATGACTAATATGGAAATGTATTTTACATGAGCACATACATAACTTATCTAAAATTCTTGCCTTTTTAGGGAGGGTGGGTGGGAGAAAATTTAGAATTCAAAAACATTTTAAAATGAATGTTAAAAATTGTCTTTACATGTAGTTGAATAAAATAAAATACTATTTAAAAAAGAATTGTAGGGAAAGAAAAATAATAAAATAATGTTAGCTATTATTATTATTATTACTCAAGGATTCTAAAGAGGAATCCTAGGAGATGCTAAAGCCCATTTTGCCACAGAGGCACCTAAAAGAGAAATTACCTCTCTCTTCTCAAAGAAGCCACAGAAGAGACCCAAGAAGCTGTTGATTAGCTGAGCTAATACCAGGAGAATCTGGATGATGCTGACACTCAGGAGTGTAGAGAAGAAAATCACATGCCAGATGACAGCTCTGCGGGGCTCAATGCAGACTGAATCCCAGAGGAAGCGGTTATAAAGGTAATTCCTATCCCAAAAAAGATAAGAAAACCAAGTAATGAACACAGAAAACTAAATAAAATAAATTAAGAAGCCCAGACAGTCTAGAAACAGGGACTTCATAAAGTGGAACAGGTACAGAACTCTTGTATAAAGAGATTAGGTTTTCACCTTCACTGGGCTCAAAGTTAAAGGAAAATAAGAGTAAGACTTCAAATCAGAGCCTAAAAAAGGAATTTTGCTTCAGAAGGGTTAGATGCTGTAATGAAGCAATCAATCATACAATAAGCATTTAAAGTATTTATCATGTGTTAGACACTGTGTTAGGCATCGGAGATACAAACACAAAGAATAGAATTATCTCAGCTCTAAAGGAGTTTACCCACTCCCCCCATTCTGGAAAACAAGTTGTAAAAGTATACTCAATCCTCCACACTCCCTGAAAAGTTACTAAACTATTCATTCTCTTTGACCTAACAATCCCTCTACTAAGTGTATACCCCAAGAAGACCAAAGATAGAAAGAAATGTCCCATATATTTATAGCAGCACTTTTTATGACCAAAACAACAATAACCACAAACTGGAAACAAAGTATCCATTGGGTAATGGCAGAATGAATTGTGGTATGTGAAAGGAACCGAATATTCTTGCACTGTAATTAATAATGCACATTAGTAATTCAGAGAAATATGGGATGATTTGTGTAAACTCATGCAGAGGAAAGAAATAACCAGAAGGACAGTGGATATAATGATCACAACGCTATAAATGAAAGCAACAATAAAACAATAATTAAAAGACAATTGAACCCAGATTAAAAGCAATGACCAATCTTGGTTCTGGAGGTCAGAGGATAAAACACAATTTCCATAAAACACAACATTCAACAGACATGATAGATTAACTAGTGGTATGAAATTTGGCAGATGAAGTCAGATGTGGTCACTGTGTGACCCTGGGCAAGTCACTTAACCCTGTTTGCCTCAGTTTCCTCATCTGTAAAATAAGCTGGAGAACAAAATGACAAACTACTCCAGTATCTTTGCCAAGAAAACCCAAATGAGGTCATGAAGAGTCAGACAGACTGAAACAACTGAATGACAACAACAAAAGACAAAACAAAGACATCATTAACAAATTAAGAAAAATGATGAGAAACAGAATGAACATTCTCATTTCCTGGGAAAGGACTGAGGTTGTCAAGCTATCATTTGACTTCCAAAGTCCCTTCTATTTCCAAAACTATGGTCCTATGATGATCTTCCTGTATACCTGTCATTCAGGCCTTTAAATGGATAGCCATGCTTCGAGGCTTGTGTCTCATTGGATGAGGGAACGTCAAACATGCAGAAGGGACCATCCTTCAGGGCCACGCCAGATGTGATAAAACAAACAAAGGCCCCTAAAAGAGCCAGGCAACCTGCCAGCGTGGAAACAAGCATCTACAGGGGGAAGGGAAAAACAGTGAAATTAAGTCTGGGACAGAGTTACCCACTAACCTACAGTGTGACCCAGGCAAGTTACTGTGCCTCAGACTCTCTCCCCACCCCACTGATATATTTGTTGTTCAGTCATAGCCAACTCTTTGTGACTCCATTTTTGGGGTTTTCTTGGCAAACATACTGGAGAGGTTCACCATTTCCTTCTCCAGATCATTTGACAGTTGAGGAAACTGAGGCAAATAGGGTTAAGGGTTTGCTCAGGGTCATGCAGCTAATAAGTGTCTGAGGTCAGATTTGAACTCAGGAAGATGAGTCTTCCTGTCTCTAGGCCCAGCACTTTCTGCACTATGGTGCCACCTAGCGTCCTATTGATACATAGTCATGGCAATTCACTTCCCCGAGTCCAACTAAGATGATATGGGGATTGGAATGATGCTATGTATCTCACAGAAGATGAAAGAGAAGTACCAGGATTTTAGGACACAGGCTTTTCTCAGTATGGAATCCATCTGCATCTAGAGTTTCAGTGCTCAAAAGTCAGCAGGTACTATAGGGCTTCACAACATCTTCACATCAAAAGCTTTTACAGATGACTTTGATTCAGCCCTTGATCTCACTAGGTAGACTGACTAACTGCTGACTAACAGTTCCTCCAAAATATGGCCAAATCTTCCCATCTAGATCCTGACTTTCTCAATCTTCAATTCCCTCTCAAAACAAACACAGGAGAGAAAAAGAAAAATTCTGAAAACACCTCTTTTCTAATAAGCAATTCTGGTAACTAGTTTGTCATTTGCATTCGTAACTAGCTTTAGCATATGATATGGTCCTTGGGCTGATAGGTGACTCAGTGGATAGAATACTGGGCCTGGAGTCAGGATTTGGCCTCAGGCACTTACTAGCTGTGTGACCCTAGGCAAGTCACTTAATCCTGTTTGCCTCAGTTTCCTTATCTATAAAATGGGGATAGTAATAGCATCTACCTTCAAAGGTTGTTGTGAGGATCAAAATGAGTTAAAATGGTAAAGCACTTAACACAGTGTCTGGCACACAGTAAATGCCTATATAAATGTTAGTTATTATTATTATTATCTCTGCTAGCTTCCAGTTCACTTCCAAATCTAATTTCTTAAAGGAACCAGATTATTTCTTCCACAATGTAAAGTTTAAAATACGTTTGAGTAAAAAGTACATCATTTAAAAGAAAAAAAAAACACATACAGTACTTTTTCCATTATTGCCCCGAAGCCTAACGTACACAGAAGCTATGCGTATGTTCCAGAAGGTTTTGATTTTAAGTTAAAAAATTCACAGTGAACTCTGGAAAACAATTTAGAATTGTGCAAGAAAAGGCACTTAACTATTCATTCCCTTTGATTCATATATCTTACTGCTGGTCATATACCCCAGCAACATTAAAGACAAAAAGGCTGCATATATGCCAAAATATCTACAATATAATTGTGTGTGACAAGAAATAACTGGATATAAAGCATGTGTGTGTGTGTGTGTGAATACACTATTTGAAGAATGACCAAATACATCACATATGAATACAATGGCATGTATTGCGCACTCAGAAGTGAGAAATATGAGGAATTCAGAGGAACATAGTAAGATTTGCATGAACTGATTCAGAATGAAACAAGTAGAATTTAGAACAATACACACAATAATTATAACAATAAAAACGAAAAGAACACTAAAATGAAACTGATTGATGAGTAACTGTAAAGACTAAGGTAGAAGACTATGGGTATGAAGCACTGAATACACTGTGTATACAGTCATTGTGTCAGCTGCTTTTGCTTAATCATTTCTCCTTTTCCTTGTTATGAGGAAGGGTTCATTGAAGAAGTATCCAGAGACGATTGTTGTATAAAAACAAAAGGTGTCATCAAAACTTCTGTTTTAAAATAACATTTTCCAATGGCAATTGTGAAAAATAAATTTTAATTTTAAAAATTGCAATTGTTTTTGCTTTCTCTTGTTTTTATAGCACCTTTATTACTTAATATATTCCTCCTCTACCTGCAAGCCATCCCTTGTAGCAAAAAAGTGAAAAAGAGAGGAGGGGAAAAAGAAGTTCAGCATAACTAACCAACAACCCAATCTGACAGAGCACTACTCTATATCCATAGTCTCCCACTTCCCTAGAGAAGGAATTTCTTCTCCTGGGACAAGCTTGGTCATTATAATTACAGAATTCAGTTTCCTTTTTCTTTCCACTTATATTATTGAAATCACCATGCTTATTGTTTCCCTGGTTCTTACTTCACTTTGCATTAATTAATCAACATTTATTAAATGCCTTCTACACACCAGGCACTGTGACAAGGGCTGGGGATACAAAAAGACACAGAAGAGTCTGCCCTCAAGGAGCTTACAATGTAATGAGGGAAACAACATGCATGCAAACATATACAAAGCAAGCTATAAGCAGGATAAATTGGAAATAATTAACAAAAGAAAGGCACTAGAATCAAGAGGGGTTGGGGAAGGCTTCCTGTAGAAGGTGGGATTTTTGTTAGGACTCAAAGAAAGCCAGAGAGTTCAGTAATCAGATCAAAGGATGGACAGCATTCCAGGTATGGAGGACAGCCAGAGAAATGCCTGGAGCTTTATACCAGCTCATATAAAATTTTCGATGCTTCTCTGAATTCTTCCTATTCACGTTTTCTTACAGCACATTTCACTACATTCATACCCCAGAATTTGTTTAGGCACTCACCACTCAGTTCGCATTCACTTTGTTTACAATTCTTTGATACTATTAAAAGTACTTGTATATTTTCTGTCTTTGACCTTAATAAAGCATATGCCTACCCTGGGTACATGCCTGGATGTGGTAATTTCAGTCATTTTTAACTCAATTGCATATTGCTTCCCAAAATAGTTGGACCAATTCACAACTCCACCAAGAGTGCATTAGTATGCTTGTCTTTCAGAAGCTCTTCCAACATCGACTATTCCCATCTTTTGTCATTTTTGCCAATTTGCTAGGTTTGAGGTGAAACCTCAAAGTTGCATTGATTTGCATTTCTTTTATTATTACTGATTTGGAGCAATCTTTCATAGAATTGTTGATAATTTACAATTTTTTAAAAAATCTTTAAAAAACATCTTCGACCCTTTATCTATTAGAGAATGGCTCTTGATTTTATATATTTGTCTCAGTTTCCTATAGATAGATCTTAGATATTAATCCTTAATAGAGATATCTGGTGAAAAAATATCAAACCCCTAAACTTATAAGGGCAGAAAACTTCACATAATATAAGAAAATTATGTGGGCTAGAGCATTAAAAGTGGGAATCCAGAGGTCCTAAGATTCTCCTAGAGAACAGCACCTCCCACCTTGGTCTGCTTGACTGGAGGTCAGTAAATCAAGAGGCAAGGCTAGAAGATAAAAAGTCTAATTAGCATCAGTTGGTGGGCAGTTTCCAGGTAGATAGCAATGCTTAGAACAAAAGGAGATATGCACATAAATGGTTTTACTCAGTCTAATGGCAGCATTAAAGGTTGGAAAAGAAGCCTATCAGGTGAGTCTGCTCAGTCACTTTCCCTTATTTGGGATGTTGAGTAATAGGGACAGGAGAACAGGTAATCTGGGATAGAATGGGTTAACCTTGGGGCCTCAGGATTTGCCAAACAAAAGATTTGTTCTAGTGGGATGTTTTCACCTTAGCTAATCTTATCAGATATCCTGGCAAGAAGCCTCTAAGGTAGTGGAGGTCACCTTCAAGATAGAAATAAGTAGGATCATCCTGTCCTTGCTAACCTGGGGATCTCTATTTTCATAACTTTGTAGCTCTGTTTCTCTAAGGTTACTTTTTCTGGGAAGATAGTGTTTTCCTAAAACTCAAAGTACAGAGGTTTTATCCTGTACATTTCTCTATAATACAAATAACCTTTGCAAACCTAAACAAATATGGAAACAAAATAAATAATTTATGTGTCGTAAAAGCTTGTGAGAAATAATAATACTTTATCAACGGACATCTCTGGGTACCTGCTATATAACTTTTTTTTTTTTTTAGGCAATTGGGGTTAAGTGATTTGGCTAGAGTCACACAGTTAGTATGTGTCTGAAGCCAGATCTGAATTCAGGTCCTCTTGACTCCAAGGCTGGTGCTCTATCTACTGCACCACCTAGCTGCCCTCTGTCATGTAACCCTGGACCTCAGTTTACATGAGGGACTTGACCTGTATCCTAAGTCCCTTCCAGCTTTGACATTTTATGAAATAAAATAACCTGGAGGTCTTTATCTTCACTATAGATGGAGATAAAAATCTATCAATATTATATAGGCATGTATTTAATATAATTTAATACATGTGTATAATATACATGTAATATAAAACTAGATAATAAGGCTGATCTCCAGTCATCCTGATCTAGATCTGGCCACTGGAACCAGACGGCTCTGGAGGAGAAAGTGAGGCTGGTGACTTGCACAGCCCTCCCTCACTCAAATCCAGTTGACTTGAAGATCATGGCATCATCTCCTGATGTCATGGTCCTGTTCAAGAATGAAAGGCAAACAGCAATAACAACAAAGCTAGATAATATATAGTTGTATTATATACTTTCCTATTAAGGAATATACCAAACTAAGTAATGAACTACAATAAAAAGACATAAGAATCACAACACTTTAAGAACTAGAATAAAAGAACCACTTACACTTTTGCAGGGCCCAGTGTTACTGAAGCAGCCCCGGCGCCAGCCTATCAGTGTGATGAGGATGGCTGCAAAGAATACCTATGGAAAAAAAAATAAGGAGAGAGTACAAGGAGAGCCAGGTTTTTAGTAGTTCTTAAGATCCCACCTTCATGCTGAGCAGGTTAGTCAAATACCCTGAATATATAGGAGTATCCTGCATTTCAATATCTTATTCAGTGTCTTTTTTGTGGGGGGTTGGGGGAGAAGGGAAGCAATCGGGGTTAAGTGACTTGCCCAGAGTCACACAGCTAGTAAATGTCTAAGACTGGATTTGAACTCAGGTCCTCCTGACTCCAGGGCTGGTGCTCTATCCACTGCGCCACCTAACTGTCCCAATTTATTCAGTTTCAAACCATCAGAACATAATGCGTTTAAGCCCTGTCTGACCATGCTGATAGGAGTCAGTTCACAGTCCTTCCCCCAATCAGAATATTCCTTATATTATCCAAACTACAATTTGGCAGCCTGGTCCCTAAGATTCTTCTCTTGTTTCCCAGTCATGCTTGAAACCATTTCAAGTTTCAAATCAGTGTGTTGGCTCCTCAGGAAAAAAACTTTCTCTGACCTAATTGAACACCCACCATGAGAAAGAGCAGAGAAGGTGACCAGTGTGGAGAAGAAGGTATTGGCTTACCATCAGGCCACCTCCCCAAAGGCCCGCACCTCTCATAGCATGCTTGCCTATAAGGCCATTCTTCAGATAGGTCACTTCCCAGTCAGGAAAGAACAGAGCAAGATTGGCACCAGCTGCAAGTTGGGCTGAGATACCAAGGCTGACCCCCAAGATGCGGGAACATGATCGAGAACACGCCATCATGAGGTACAGCAAGAACTGTATCCTAAAAGATAGGATGAGAGGGGGAGGTTATCACAGCTCTAGCTTTCAATCAACCTTCCCATACCCCTGACCAACTGGTTTCCCTCCACGCCATGGGATGTAATCACAGAAAGTAAGGACAAATAATGAAGCCAGCGAGGTTAACAAAGTACAAAGATGTGCTAATACCTTGTTATCCCTCTCTATGACCCTATGGAGGCTGGAAGCAAATGTCAGCTAAAGCACTTTCTGCCTACGTGGAGAAACAGCCAGGCCTGAGCCCTAGCTGCCTCTTATTCTGTATTTCTTTGCTAAACACTGGTGATGGAGTAATAGGTGATATTGAGATATCCTCTTGAAATGGAGAGTTTGGGAGATCCTGAGACTCTCAATTGGAGCTGACTGGCCACAGGATTTTCTGCATCTGAGAAGATGACCACAGAGAAAAGAATGAGTCCAAGCCTTGACCTGGCTTGTTAAAAGACATAGACCCTGAGGTAATTGTTTGGAGAATGAAGAACTGAGGAGAAGTGAAAAGTGCCTACTTAGCAGTCCCACAAAATGCCTACAAACTCCCAAGAGATAATAATAGTAGTTTATTGCTACTTATTCTTTAAGTTTTGTTTTATTTTATGGTCAATGCCTGCTAGTATTTTGTATTTAGTATTTCTTTTGTGTATAGGAGATAAGTAGCTGTCCAGATCTATAGGTAACATAGGATTTCTTTCTATTCCTCCCTTTTTGGGAATATCTTAAGACAACAGTAAAACCTAAACTTTACGAACTTTCTCTAGAGGATGCCCATCAATTGGGGGAATGGCTGAATAAGTTGTAGTATATGAATGTAATGGAATACTATTGTTCCATAAGAAATGATGAGCAGACAGACTTCAGAAACACCTGGAAAGATTTACATGAACTGATGCTGAGTGAAGTGAGCAGAACCAGGAGAACATTGTATACAGTAACAGCAACATTGTGTGATAACTAACTTTGATAGATTTACCTCTTCTTAGCAACACAAGAATCTAAGATTCATGGTGGAAAATGCTATCCATGTCCAGAAAAAGAACTATGGAGTCTGAACGCAGATCGAAGAATACTATTTGCTCTCTATCTCTCTCTTTTTTTTGTTGTTTCTTCTTTCTTGTCGTTTCTCCCATTGATTCTAATTCTTTTTTACAACATAACTAATATGAAGATATTAATTTTCATTAATTAATAAAAAATTAATATGAATGTATATGTAGAGCCTATATCAGATTGCAAGCTGTCTTTGGGTGAGAGGAGGGGAGGCAGAGGGAGAAAATTTGGAACTCAAAATCTTATGGAAGTGAATGTTGAAAACTAAAATTAATTAATTCATTAATTTAAAAAAATAAATGATAGGGAAAAAAAGAATTTTCCCTAGAGCTGTGGGGGGGGATCATAAAGAGTTCTCTGGGAATGTCAGGTCTGACCCCAATCCCATGTGTCCAAAGCTGAGAGTGGTCTATTAGTGGAAAAAGAAAGGAAAAACACTCTCAGCCTTCCAAGCCCCAGAAGCTGTCATTGTTAAGCTTGTATTGTACCAAAATCTGCAATTTCCACTCATTGGATTTTTCTTTCCTATTTGTATTTCAAGTGCTTTGCATTCATTAATTGTTAAATAAATGGGGGTTTTTTTATCCGTTCCTTTGATTTCTCCTAATTCTGCCCTCCAAGACCAAAACAAGTCTAATTGTTTTCTCATAGGACAGTCCTCCAGGGCTTGAGGACAGTGAATCTATCCCCATTAAGTCTTCTCTTCTCCTGGCTAATGGCCTACTTAGAGTTCCTACATTAGATCTGTGGTTTCTAGGCATTCTCCTTTGCGCCATCTCCAGTTTGTCAATGTGCTTTCTTAAGAAGTGGCATCAAGTCCTGAGTGAAGAGAGTGGAACCAGGAGAACATTGTACACAGTAACAGCCACATGGTGAGATGATCAACTTTGACTTAGCCCTTCTCAGCAATGCAATGATCTAAGACAATTCCAAGGAACTCATCGTGGAAAATGCTAGCCACATCCAGAGAAAGAACTATGGAATCTGAATGTAGATCGAAACATCCTATTTTCTCTCTTTTTTTCTTTTTCCTGGCTTTTCCCTTTTGTTCTGATTTTTCTTTCACACTATTACTAATGTGGAAATATGTTTAATATGATTGTACATGCATAGCCTATATCAGATTGGGGAGGGGGAGAGGAAATGGAAGGGGAAAAATGTGGAACTCAGAATCCTATAAATGTAAATGTTGAAAACTAAAAACAAATAAATTAAAAAATCAAAAGTGGCATCAAGTATAGGGTATTATTGCATATTACTGGGTATAGCCTTCCTTAAAATGTGGCACCCAGAGTGTAATATCACATATTCTGTCAGACCTAGTTAAGTTAACATGTGGTTGGTTTTGCTGAACTGGGTTTTTCTTTTCTCTCTCTCTTTTTAAATCTTTGTTGCAAGGAATGGCTCACTCTGTATGAACATGATATTCCAGATATGGTCTGAACAGAGAAGAGTTTTTCAGGACTTTCAAACCTCAGAGGTTATCTATTCGTTCAACAAACATTTTCTCCAATGTATTGTACCCTGTGCTATGCACTGAAAGGGAATACCCAAATAAATAAGACAGAGGACCTCCCCCCACCAAGCTCACAGTAAAATAGGGGGAAACAAGACATATAATAGACATTCAGGGAAATCCATCCCTCTTCTTTATCTATTTCTGCCATTTAGGGATTTTTTTTTCAGTGAGGTAATTTGGGGTTAAGTGACTTGCCCAGAGTCACACAGCTGAATGTCAGAGGGATCTGGCAGACACAGGCTGCACATTGACCTGGTCAGGAGCATCTGCATTCATATGCCTCTCTCTACAGGAAACTATGTGCACCGAAGAGCCACCATCACCAGATGGCAATGCTCAAATGCAGCTTATGTGCCAACATCTATCACAGAGGAAAATCTCTAAAGACCTTGACCAGTTCCTCCAAAACAAACTAATCTATATTTAAATTCCAGGTTATGCTATGCAGTTGGCTGGCCAGTCTGTTGGGTTAGTACAGTGGTACCTATATTCTCCATTGCCTATGAACAATGAGTTAGACCTATAGTAGAATAGGAGGAAGATGGCAGATGGGATTGCATTTGAGAAATTAAGCAGTGCTTTCAAGGATTCCAAGATGATTTCCAGTACGGTGAATCCATCCTTTAAACTCAGGTGCTGCCATGGTACTGCACTGGTGGCCAATCTTACATTGTTTTATACAGTCTGAAAGTCCTCTGCCCCCACATGACCCGGACTTCCCCTGTAAGATAAGCCAGGCACTGGATCAACTAACTATAGCTGCTTGAGGTTGATACTTGGCAGCTAATGCAGGGGTGGAAGATGAAGCACTCCAGTGCTAATTGTCTTTTCTAGACAAAGTTGGGACTAGGTATTTATTTGACCAAATTTAAAATTCATACCCCCACTCCGTTTTATTGCCCTCCTCAACTCCATTCTCCACTTTGATCTTCCACTGTAACACATGAAATTTGCCACATCCTAAAACAAATACACCTACAATCTGTAGAGAACAAGATATTCTGGCATTAAAAATGTACATATGTTGTCATTTGGTTGTTTTTAGTCATGTCTTTAGTCATGACCCCTTTTGGGGTTTTTGTGGCAAAGATACTGGAGTGGTTTGCTATTTCCTTTTCCAGCTCTTTTTACAGATGAGGAAACTGAGGCAAACAGGGTAAAGTGACTTGCCCAGGGTCACTCAGCTAGTAAGTGTCTGAGGTCACATTTGAACTCAGATCTTCCTGACTGCAAACGTGGCCCTCTATCCACTGCACCACCTAGCTGCCCTATGCATGTATAAGTTACATTAAAAAAAGAGTATTCCTTATCCTAGTCCTCTCCTCTGTTCCACCCCACCCCACCTTGTGCTGTGTCCTAATGGTCTAGTTGTCTTGCCCACCCCTAAACCTGACGAGGTCCATGACTCCTAGATGGCAAGTAGCCAGAACCTTTGTTCACAGTGCCTTTGCCCTATCTCCCCAAGTTATGTTGATCATGATTCCAGCCCTGATTTGTTGTTGTTCTCTGTGTCCAACTCTTTGTGACCCCATAGACCACAGCATGGCAACATATGGGGTTTTCTTGGCAAGGATACTGGAGTGGTTTGCCATTTCCTTTTCCAGTGGATTAGGGCAAACAGAGGTTAAGTGACTTGCCCAGGATCACACAGATAGTAAGTATCTGAGCATAAATCTGAACTCAGGTCTTCCTGACTCCAGGCCCAGCACTCTGTGCACTATGGCGCCACCTAGTGGACTGCTTAAGCCATCCATAAACGGGAATGACTAGGAAGTGCTTCAGATGAGAATTATGGACTACTAGCAGGAGGGAAGAAGGAAGCCCAGGAAGCTTGAGTCCTGGGCCACAGAAGCAGCCAGAGCTGGTGCAGTTTTCTCTCCTCCCCCCACATCGGGTAACCTCATCCAGGACCTTTGTCTTTTCACCCGGTCAAAGCCTTATTTATTTTGGCCAAAGGATGTAGCAAAATCTCTAAAGCAAACAAAGAGTATATTCTTTAAAAAAAGTTACAAGATTCTGAAAGAACAGGATAAAAGTAAAATTCTGAGAAAACAAACATATGACATTTTGGATTCAGTTTTATGAGTAGGATAATAAGACCATAAAGATCATTCTATCCAAGGAATTATTAAATCTTTTTATTTTTTGAGGCAATCAGGGTTAAATCATACAGCTAGGAAGCGTCCGAGACTGGATATGAACTCAGGTCCTCCCGACCCCAGGGCCGGTGCTGTATCCACTGAGCCACCTAGCTGCCCCTGGCACTATTAAATCTAAAATAATTTAAGCTCTGATTTCAAGGCAATGGGGAGGAAGAATGAAGAAGTTAGGTTTGTTTCAATGGAATAAATCAGTCCAACACATATTTATCTAATGTTTACTGTGTGCAGAAGGCTAT